CATAATGCTGGATGTCTGTGGTCTGTTTTTTTTTAAAAAGTTCCAATATTTTTTAATCATTGACAGACAACGCTGCATAGACAAAAAGATGTGGGTCCAGCCTTGTAAGTAGCTAGCAACTTCCTTTTGTCAGTGTGTAAGAAGCTTGAACAGATTCAAGCTTCAGTATAAAACCTTTCCAAATGCTGTCCCCAAATTTCAAGGAATTTCAGGTCATTCCTTGAAATTAGATTAGCTTGCTAGGTCTACGCTATAGGTAACATCAGCTGGAAGCAGCGGGCCCTCATGGGGTTTAAATCACACTCAACACTGCACTCCATAAGGGTCCCCAGGCTAGACTCCAATGCAACTTGAGCCTACTTTGGAACATGACAGAGAGACATATAAACAAAGCCATACTGACTTGGATGCCTCTCAGCTTAATACTGTGCTACTGTGCCAGCCAAACCAATGCGAGAGGCTGTAGCTCAGGTGGTAGACCAGGTCATCTACTAATCAGAGGGTTGCTGATTATCAGATACTTTGCTATCTGATACATCCATCATAGCATGAATGCATGTGAATGTCAGATAAAAAGCAATTGCAGACAAAGTCCATAGAAGAAAGTGCTTGTGCGAATAGTTAGATGAGGCAAGTTGTGTAAAGTGCTTTGAGTGCTCAGAGTAGAATAGCGCTATATAAGAACCAGTCCATTTACCCATATGGTAAATATTGGATGAACAGAAGACCATGTCCACCTTGACCACAAAGGCCCTGGTAGCTCAGTGCTATAATATCAGATAATAGAATAAAGCAACTCAAAACTGGCATCTGGTGGACACATCAAAATGGCTCTGGAAAACGAAAGCTACTAATACCTCATTTCTAACTGGTCACCCACCTTGCATAATAAGGTGGCCACAGGAACTATGATGGAAGACCAAGTTCCTGCATGGACTGTGCCATGGACAGTGTTGGGTAAGTTACTTTAAAAAAGTAATTAATTACTAATTACTTAGTCAATATTGTATTTAAAATACTTATCTAATTACTGTGTCAGAAAAGTAACTTAATTACTAAATAAGTAATTTAACTAAATACTTCTTAAAATCCCTATAAACCTTGAGTGGGCAAACAATAGAAATTAAACTCTTTAAATAAAAAATAATTTTTTTTGAAGACGGAGACTCTACAGTACGCAGATGTAGCATCTCTTCCACAATATAGCCTACAATCATTTTTTTAAGCTCACCTTCAGACGCTTTCTGTGCAGCTGAAGTAAAATCAAGGTTTATATATTTTATTTATTGTTTACTCTATTTAATTTGTAAAATATGTGTACACACACACACACACACGTAGAAAAATATTTAGTATACACATCCAGAAATGCATATACTATTATATATTGTACATATATTTATTAGTTTCAGATGTAGCCATTCTTGTATTTTGCTTGTTACATTATTGTATTTTGCACAACTCTGTTGCTTGTGAAGCTCGCACACAAGAATTTCACTCACATGTGCTGTACCAGTGTACCTGCACATGTGATGTGACAATAAAAGTGATTTGATTTGATTTGATTTGAGGTTTGCCTGCTTAGCAGGAGTTGCCGTGGAGTTATCCATGGATGATGAACAAGGATCACTCAGAAGTGTTCATATTACTGTAATATTCTTGTCTGCTTGTTTCAGAAAAGTGAAGAGACGGGAATATGTCCATTTCATAAAACAGCCACTCGCTTCAGCCGAGTCCGACATCTTCCGCTTTAGAATACGACTATGCAGCAAACTGGCGCGAAATGACGTGAACCTGCACTACAGCGATGTTAAAGTGGCAGAGTTTACTTCTATGTTTAGAAGATAAATTATTGAAATTAAACAATGATATTCAGCGAGTTTAATTATTTTACAATGTAACGCAAGTACCTAATACCTAAAAATGAACAGTAATTAGTTACTCTACTTTTTCAGTGGAAAAGTAATTTAATTACAGTAACGCGTTACTTAGTAACGCATTACACCCAACACTGGCCATGGATAGATGCAAGAAGTGGCTGACATCCAGAAGTCCAGGCAGTGACTAGAAAAGGCTAATGTGAAGGACAACACACAGGCTCTGATCATGGCAGCACAACTACAGGCCTCACTATCCACCACATAGTAGCAGGATATAAGTGTACCAGTACATCTTTAGATTATCCGATCCACTTCTAATCCAGCATATGGGAGACACCAGTGAAGGTGTTGAGAACAACAGGGCTGACATCCCAGTTTTTGGCAGACAAGCAGCTTCTAGCCAACAAACCAGAAAATGGTGGTTGACAAGGAACAGATGTGGCAATTCCAGCGGATAACAACAACAGAAAGATGGAGCATGAGTCTCCCCTAGGAAAACACTTGGGGGAAGGAACAAATGGAGAAGATTTGGAAGGTAAAGCTTAAAGGGGTCCCTGTGGTAATAGGAGTATGAGGAACTGTGACTCCAAAGCTGGAAGTGTGGCTCCAGCAGATTCCAGAGATAAAATAGAGGTGCCTATCCAGAAGAGTGGAGTCCTAGGAACAATTAAGATACAGCGCAGAATCCTCAGAGTTCCAGGCTTATAGGAGAGGACCTAAGCTTCAATGCACACAATGGAAGATTTTTTTATATAGAACTCATTCTTGTTCATTCTGTCATCCTTCATTGATACATTGGCATGGAAATGTGAGTGGTGCTCTTGGCTCTTGAATGAGCCTAATGGCCCAGTTTGTGAGAATGAACATCAAACTACTGATTTTTAAAGTGCGGTTAATGTTGCATGACTGGAAAGAAACTGGATCTGAGCGTAAAGGAATAGTTTGTCGAGGGAGGTGGAAAGAGAAAATGCTTCCCAGCAGCTCACATGAAGACCTTCAGTTAATGACATAATTTAGTGTAATTCATAGGGGATAGCTGGTAGTTCAGTGACTGATTTCCCCCTTTCCAACTCAATGTAAATATTTTTCTGCTAGAGCATGCAGTAAATTGGGTAAAACTTAAGAAATAACAGAATTGCACTCTATTCTACAATTGCTTACAGCCATTTTCATCAGCGCCTCATTTTCCTTTCATTCTAATTAATTGTGATCCAGTTATTGCTCCGATATTGTGCAACTTCATTGTAGTGGTTTGCATACCATGGGCTTCTCTCCTGTGAGGTCCGTGTCATTTCAAGTCGGGCACATTAGTCATATGAGCCACATTTAATTAGCACAACCACAACTATAAAACACCACATTTTGTGTGTGTTGATACATGCTGGATATTGATAATCAATACTGCTTACTCCTTCAACCTAATTTTAATTAATTAGATGAAACAAAGTACAATGTAAATTCAAACTATTGTTCCAGTGTAATAAAATCGTGCAAAGACAGATGCTTAGAATAAACTGATTATCTTTTTTTTTGCAGAATTTTTCTGATTCAGTAGCCTGGCAGCATTGGCAACCTTAGTTTACATAATGTTACATCTAACATTATTTTAACAGGTCGTGCTTCCCACATAATTGACTATAGGGAAAACTGCTTGAATCCAAGTGATGTAAATTCCATCATCCACAGGTGAAAACCAGGCAATTTGTGGATGTCAGCCTCATACTCCAATTGTTTGGGTGGACTTGTTTGGCAGAAATCATACAACACCACACTAAACATACATACGTCCTTGAGGCAGACTTCAAGTGGATGTGACACAAGTATCGCAGACATTAATAGTCATCCATGGTGTCTGCAGCAGTCATAATCACTACTTCGGTTTACCATGTCAGCATGCTAAATTTTGTGAAATACCACAAAACATAAAATAAGTGGAAGGTGCTTTAGCTGTGTAGGTAACAGGTCATAAAACAAGGACTACTGAGTGATGTCAGTGCCCATATAATGGATGATGGATCCATGGTTTTTAAATGTTTGAAAAATCTTTGTAATTCTTCAAATAGTTCTTGAGATACGGCACTCAAAACATCCAATATCAAGCTATTGGATGATCTAGAGGAAAATTACTGTGGATCATTAGTCACTGGCTTTGAAGATTTTTGGAGACCATTACGTACAATTTCATGGTGATCCTTCAAACACATGTTGAGATACTTTATTTTGGGCAGAAAATTGCAGGTCTACACATAAACTAACACTGTGTAAAGTCTCATATCCTATCAGATATGGTTAATATTCTTCCACAGGTGGAAGAATATTACCCCATAGGCAAATGCATATGGATAAGTTGAGTAGGTGCAGATATTTCAAAAGATGCAGTACTTTCCACCAACCATCATCAGTTGTGAATGTTTTAACACGAAAAACCGTTATACTTACCACAGAAAAAATGATTTCATGAACACTATAGGTTTTAGATATGGGTTTACACTTTTTCTTTTGAAAAACTGAGCAATATTAAACAAGGAAGTGTGAGCGTATCAAATCTGAAAGTACTCAACAGGCTTTTAAGTTTGAAAGTTGTGACAATTATCCAATCACTCACAGTAATAACTTTGCGAGCGTTATTGTGTTGGAAAGACACATCAAAGTCCCCTTGTCTCTCTGTTTTTTTTTTTTAATGGATTGCATTAGTTACCAGAAACTGACGTTAACTGAAAAATATGCGCTTCCAAACAAAAGTATTTTTAATTACAACAGTACAATCGCACACCAGGTGGAAAATAACTACCAGGTGGGAAATAACCAATAAAATTAAAATGGGGAAAGCGTTACAAAAAAAAAAAAAAAAAAAAAAAATCAAATACACAAGGAAAACATTTTATTTGCAGATGTGGCAAAAAAATTTGGAATACATGTTTGTTGTGGGTTTTAGCCACTCACGATGACTGAGTAAGTGGCTCAGATCTGTCTGAGACCCAGGTCTAAATCTAAACGATTAAGTCTGTTGTAGTGGAAAAAGAAAGATCCTCTCATTTTCTACATGTTGTTTTTTTATATTTCACATTCTTCAGAAAAAGACAAAGCCACATAATAATACACATATTTTTTTTACAATTGAAAATTTACAATATAATAATTTATTATTACAATTCATACAACATGAGATGAACATATTGAAAAGGCATTGTTTATCTTCAGTTAAACAATATCCATGGCTTTGAAGATATGTTATTGGACTGAAAAACAAGAAGATTAAACAGACCACATGTGATTCCTACAATCACTGATTCTTCACATTTCAGTGTACAGTACCTCATGTTTACATGTGGGTCAGCAGTAATTGTCCTGTTTTCTACTGTTGGGAAAATGTTGGTCAGATCTACTGCTTTATTATCACGCTTGCTATATTTATCTGCAAAAACAAGAATATGAAAAATTTATAAATTCTGCTGTGAGGGCAGAACTTTTGAAAACCAGTTAACATTTTCAGTTTTAGCTTTAGATCTGATATAATCTTAGGTCTGTTACTGCTTCTCTTATATGCGTCTCGTATATTTCCAATTTGCAGGACTTATGCTACAATGACAAGTCGTGTTTCAGTCACAAGCAATAACTTATCATTAGATTACAAACACATTACATGAACTTACAAAAGTCTAGATATAAGATTTGATTTCATCCACCGCCCCGGTATCAGAATTCTTTATACTAATACTAATAGTCTTATATTACTTAAGTAATATAACATGGCTATAGGTACTGCAGTTCGAGAAAGTCATACAAGAAAATGATTCATTCATTTCAGCAATAAAATTAAAGCTAACTCAAAAGTCTGGATATAATGTCTGAATGCCACCTACTCCGTCTTGCATAATAATTTCACTAGGCAAATATCAATCCTGTTACCACACAAGTCCTTGCTGTTTCAAGTGAATCAATCGAAGGTCATGTAAGTCAAACTACATGCTTTCTCACGTAACGATTTTAAATTCCTGAAGCAAAGTGTAGTTATTCTTCTTAATTAATGCGAACTTAAAAACAAGTAAGTGATTTTGGCTTTAACACAGTTCAGTTTCTCCTTTCGAATGAAGGTAGTAAAGGCAAATAAGTTATACTATGGATATTTCCTTTTTTTCCTCTTTCTTTTAAGTGTACCAGGAAAGCTTCAAAGCACCAAAAAGGAACTATGATTTTACATTCAAAGTATTTAAGTCAACCAGTTTTCTTTTGTCTGAATAATATTTTACATGTTCACTCTGCAGTCTCTCATTGATATGTGCAATCACTGGCATCACTGGAGAAATATGTCAGTTCTGGGATTTTTTTTTCTGGGATAATCTTCTTTCTCATAATAAAAGTAGGCCACACAAAAATATTTTTTTCGGTAGCTTTAACACAACGTCCAGTGAATGAAGTCCTGTGAGAGTTTTTTTTTTTCTTTCAGCCTCAATCGATTTGCAAAATGCAACAGTCGAGTGGGAGGCAACTGCTGCAGAGTGTACTGAAGAGGTACATCAATCAGTGATGTCATTTTGCAAAAAAAAGAAAAAAACAAAAGACGAACTGCTCATTTCGTAACTCCTGTCTCATCGGAGTTTGGTGCTGCTGTATGTGTTACGCTGTACAGAAATGAGCTTTTCCATGCAGGCAGTGCGACTGTCATGTAAAGAGCCATGCCACATATTGGTGGGAGGTCGTGCCTCTTCACTCCGGCAGTAGACATATGCCATGGTGTCGGTGCGGCTCTGGATGTGGGTGCTGCGCAGGAGGGACCGGCAATAGAGGCTAATCTTCTCCACCCTACGTAATATGAGGTTGGCTTTTCTGTTAAAGAAGATAAAATCACAAAAATATGACTTTTATACTTAAATCCATTATGTTTTCTTTCAAGTTTGCTGTTCGCAAAACAACTGCAGATTACATGAGATCGCTGGAGCAAAAATTCTTTTAGAGCAAAAGGAATAATCTTGAAGTTTAGGCAACAATGGACACAAGCAGAATTACTAAACAATTTCAAAAATGTATTTCATAATTAATATATACTAGAGCTGTACAGAAAATCAAGGTACTATACATTATATATTTCTGAGGAATATATATCTAATGTATAAATACCTAAGCTTGTCTGGCTGATGTCCATCTTTCTCATCGTAATAATGATGCTTCAGTTCAAGTCATGACCTCAGTGTAAACCACTTTTACCACCTTTATTCAGTACAAAAAACACTGACAGCAGTAATTTGCAGCAACATTTTGTTTCATAGGCTCTCTCCTGGACTCTGTTGTATTCACTGGGTAAGCAAGTGGCAAGGCTTTAGCTATCAAGTAGTACTATAACATGTTATCATGCATTATGGGAGATGTTTGGTTACTTATTAGAGTCTCTCCAAGTCATATCTTTTGCCTCTAAATTAGACAAAGGTAACAAAAAATACCTTATCTTAAGTCATTATGGTAATGCTGTTGTAATTTTAAAGACCACAGAACAACATTTTGTACCCATGTCTTACCAAATGCATCTCCAACAGAGCAACAGCACATGCTTGTTCTGTTGTTCTATGGCGAGGATTTTTATAGAGCATCAAAGAAAGTCATTCATACAAATTATAAGCAGCTGTTGTTGAAAATATCTATAAAATGAATTGGGATTATAAAGGCAACAGATTCATCCAGCAGGCACAAAATGCCCTGGTTTAAAGATAACAGTTTGTTCCTAACAAGACAAATTTTTAATGGATTAAAAAGAAAAGTGGTAAAAAGTTAACACATGAATTCAAACAGAAAAAAAAAAGAATCAGGATTGTGCCTTTATCTGTGTCTCCACATATGAATTGTCTGCACAAATGTTACCAGATTTCAAAGAACTGCATCTGAGTCTCTCCCATCCATCTGATAAGACTGCCAGTCTGGGTCAAAACCAAGACATGCAATGGCGCATTTTGAGTTCTTGGGTGCTGGTTCTGCTTAACAATACATCAGAGGCAGCTGTCTAGAGTGAGTGAAACAAAGAATTTTGTCTCAAACTTCTGGAGTCTGGAGCTGAAGTTTAAGCCATGACTGAACCATATGCCATGTCAGGTCAGCTCAGATTACAAAGGATTTATATATCTACTTATCTATATATATATATATATATATACAGAGAGAGAGACTTTACAATACATATGTATAT